ATTCTCACTAACAATGTGGCCTAAGTAAAGCACCTCTTTCTGGAAATAAATGACATTTCTTGGGATGGAGTTTGAGGTTTGCTGCTTTCAAATGCTTGAATACTTCCTCCAGCCGGGACATCTCCTCATCAAAAGTTGTTGCAAATACGATGACATCGTCCAGGTACACTAGGGCTATCGTCCATTGTAGGCCTTTCAATACTCTTTCCATCAGCCTCTCAAATGTTGCTGGACCATTACTAATCCCGAATGGCATCACACGATATTGCCAGAGACCTTGACCATAACTAAATGCAGTCTTAGGTCTATCCGCTTCAGCCATTTTTGCTTGATGGAAACCTGACTTTAAGTCCAGAGATGAAAACCACCGGGCTCCACTTAGGGCATCAAGAGTATCATCAATTCTTGGCAGTGGGTATGAGTCTTTTTCGGTTATACTGTTAAGAGCCCTGAAGTCCACACAGCAACGTTGGGTCCCATCCTTCTTCTGGACTAACGTGACAGGAGCTGACTAGGGACTATCTGATTTCTCGACTATCCCTTCCTTAATTAGACCATCCATGACCTTTTCTATGTCTTGTCGCTTTGCTGGAGCTATTCTCCTCGGAGGGATCTTTATTGGATGGTGATTGCCTGCGTTTATTCTGTGCTCTTCAAGGTTTGTGCAGCCGAGGTCATGATCTCCTTTCGAAAAGACGTCTGCACAATTTGCTAAAAGTTCTTTTACCTGAAGAGCCTGTGATGATGCCAAATGGACTATGCTCTTCTTATAGAGGTCAGTCAAATGTTCTAGTAGTGTATGTCCTTTCTTTACTGTTGTATTCCTTGCTTTAACATTGACTGGCTTTACCTCCTGGCACACACCCAATAATGCCCCTTCCTTAAGTGTCTGCTCACATTTAGAGAAATTGGCCACTGTTATAGGTACTACTTGATGATCTGCCACAAGTGACCTTCCTATCTTCAAATCCGCTGGCCTGGATGGGTCTTCCACTGCTTCCACAAGCATTGGCCTTCCATGGGGATGTTCTTTTATCCTACTCCAAATTATCTTCTCTGACAAAGGGGGTATTGTAGTTGACTTAAGTGCTGTGACATGCAGATCAATGGATGTAGCAACTCTTACTGAAATCTGGCCTTTGTTGTTTCCAATCATCATTTTTTCGAAGTTAACTACACATTTTCTCGGTAGTAGATAGTCCAATCCCAATATGCAATGTCAGCCAAGTATACTTTCTGTCTTTTCTTCATGCCCATGAGCTCGATAGTTTTACCCACTGATCCCCACAACCTTGCATAATGTCCCGTCTCCCCACAGAGCTTC